CATTCACAATGTTTTAATGGGCCATGATATCAAAGCACAGAGGTACTGTAAAACTAAGTTGATCACCAGCTGTACTTATAACAGATATTCTAGCTGATTTCTCTCTCAGTAACTTAGAATGTAACTTAATTTAAGCAAATTCATTTAGGGACTGCATAGTGCAAAAAATCTTGTGTTAAACATTATGGGCCTTAGTAAATATAGCTCAACCAAAAAAAAAACACAACTCAGCAGTTCCAAAGACCACAATAAAACAAAATCTTTCATAATATACAGCAAAACAGAGATGCCTGACCTGATTCAACATATAATTTTTATTGGCTGCATTCAAATGTACAGCCAACACTATATATTCATTAACAAACTATTCACCTGGTAGTAAAACATAGTTGAGAGCAAGTTAAATTCACCCCACATCTACTTCTTGATCTGCCAAGTGGTCACTTGCCAAGAGGTTTCCTCATTACATGAACATACGTGTCTCTTCCAACAAACAAAACAGAACCTCTTCTTGTCCTACTAAATTAATAACATTTCATGATCTCTCTTACTTCCTTTGCCTTAAAACTTCATAACAGAATTTGTATAGATACATAAATATTTGACCAAACATATGCTGTAGTTCTTTACAAACACACATCACCATTTTTTTTTCTCAGTTGTATACTGTATACAGAGAGAAAGAAGTTTCACTAACTCATATCATTTTGTACACACACATTTTATCTCCTTTCATAAAATAAAGCAATAATGTACTGTCTGTTGCATAAGAGAGCAAAGAAAGTAAGTAAAAAGAAAAGGTGTCCCTGTAACAGGCCATGGAGGCCCATAAGGTTGTGAGATGTTGAGGTTCCCACATTTTCTAGACAATCGGCTCACAGAAGGTGGTAAGGTTGTCAGCCCTACGGGCCGGCCACCCTTCACCCCCAAGAACATTCCTGGTATTCATTTCTGTTAAGAGGCTGACTCGACCCCAGGGCCATAGTGCAGCTGGAAGGATTAGGTCAACTGAAAAGAATCCAATAACCTCACTGGGACTTGAACCTGTGACCTTCCGGTTTGTAGCACAGTGCCTCAACCAACTACGCTACTGTGTGCCCCCTTGCATAAGAGAGTACATTCATCAACCTCTAGCCGCATAAATAAGGTAAAGTTGTCCCTGTGCTTAACTAATTAAGCACTGGATGTACAGATCCACATTTTCTTGACCTTGGCACTAGCTGCAGGTGAGTGGCCAGCTTTATGACCTGGCTGCTATACCCCCGGGGAAAGAGCCACCAGTACCCATTGGATAGGAGGTTGGGTGGACCCCAGAGATGGTCTGAATGAAGTGGAGAAGAGAAAATTCTTGACCCTACTAGGACTCAAACTCTGACACCTCAGTCGTCCAGCCCGTAGCCAGTCACTATACTGACTACACCAACCCAGCTCCTTAGCCCCATAAATTGTGAAGTATATAACGAATACCAGATATTTGACTTGAAACAGAGTCAAAGTATACTTAAAGCCACAGCTAACGGTGTGCATTATTTTAAATGGTTCTCTTCTGGCTGGATCCAGATGCCAGTTCATTCTCCCTTATCTCTTATCATAACAGGATGATGTGATGAAACTTTAGAACCTTTCCCCTACCCTGCTTTATGGTAGGAGGAAACCCATAGATAAATTATACAACAGGCCAGCTCTAATTTCGACGAAAGCAACTGCATCAATATTTAAAACAGAATCCATATCACAGATATCAGGGATAAACTTTGTAATTACCCTATTCACTTCACATGTTTACGTAATAATAAATGGAGGAATTATCTAAGGAATAAGATAATTCAATACTTTTATTACATTAAAAAGGACATCAAAGCTGTAAGATAAGTGTAGTTATTCCTGTTGAGATGATCATCCTAACATCTTACAAGTGTATTCACTTTTTTCTATTCCTGTCACATAATTTTATTTGTGGTTCAAAGAAATAAAGATAAAAGATAGAATTTGGATGATGAAATAAGACTGTGGAGGGAACAGATGTGGCTGCATACTGGGTATTATCTCAGCATTTCCATGGAGGAACCAAGGAAAATTAAAAGCATCTTCACTAACAATAACATGGTTTCGAAAAGAGACCTCAAAAACACAAATCATGCAGCCCTTATTTGTTAAACTTCTTTGAAGAAACTTTTAAATTGGTTGATTTCTTTTGCTGCACTGTTTGAATTCACTGCATCCTCACATTAACAAACCAACTAATTTAAATACCCTTTAAATCTTTAAGATACTCAACACAAGGAACTACAGAGCTTCTAAAAGGATCTAAAGGCATACAGAAGTTCTATTAACATAGAACTTCTTTTATGGTGACTTGTGGGCATCTGGTCATTCTGTTATAATTACAAATCAGTATGTCCATCCATGCAACTGTCCAGTGGGGCCCAAAAGTGGGTGAACTGGATGTCTACTGAACAGTGTTTCACAGAAAACAATAACATTTTTATGTAATGGTAACATGTGTGAATTTAGAAGTGTATTAGAATCTAAGTTTATTTGCATCTATATGAAATTCAGATGCAAAATTCATAACTTCAGACACATTAACGTCAATATACATACTGATCTTGTACATTCCGTAACATCAACAGGAGGCATTTCCAGCACCTACTATAATCTAAGTAAGTTCTATTTGCATGGCTGTGCCATAGCTCAAGCAGTTAGTCGCTGGCTTCCCACCACGGTGGCCCGGGTTCAATCTCAAGTCTGGTCAAGTGGGATTTGTGGTGGACATGCTGGGGCAGGTTTTCTCCAAGTACTTTGGTTTCCCTTGCCAATCTCATTCCACCAATTGCTCCACAATCACACTCACCAATCATCTGGGGCTGGTACAATAGACCAGAAGAGGCCACAGTACAATGGACTTAGTCCCACCCCACTAGCATTAAAAAAAAGTTCTATTTGTAATTTCTTAGTCTATAGGATTGTCAATTCTGCTAACAGTCCAAATCTTTGCAGCCAAACTGGACTGGGGGAACATCACTCTCTTCAACCCAAGAGGCCCAATGATTATGGAAACCTCCAAGGTTACTGCACTATATCAGAATCCAGTTTATTCAATACCGCACTAAGCTCAGAGAGTGAGCATACAAAATACCACTGTAAAAATCGATGTCCTACATCGACAGATATTAGCTAAAAATTTCAGACAGATATATGATTCTTCCATACAGTTAAGTGTTATGTCCAGGCTAAGAGCCCAGATTCTGAACAGACATCAGCAGTTTCAAATCACATTACGTTCTAATATGAACATATGGCTGAAGATGTTTAATTTTATTACCTTCTACTGCTTTAAGGTGTACCATGACTTGATTGAAATTCAATCACAGTTCACACAAAACAAGATGACCCAGTGCTTTTAAATACTTATAATTACTCTTCAGCTGGAAGAAGACACGACAGGTATTTAGGGTAAAGAGCCAAAAAAATAAACTTAACTGTGACAGCAATTTACTTGTTTTAAAAGCAGGGTTCTCCAAACTGTTCTAACTGCTGAATATTTTTGGCCTTTAAATACTACATGTAAAAAACATAAACCAGAACACAAAAGGTTTTCAACATGCTGAAGATTCACATTGCAATCTGCTGGATTAGGACATCATATAGCAGTCTGGTAGGCAGGCACCAATGTTTCAGAAGAACATACTGCCTCCATATTCTGGGTATAAGATGGAGACAGTTATGTTACATCAAAATCTATCTACCAAACAATATTTTATCATAATCCAGAAAGCCACAATAAGAATACAACAAAACAGCACTTTAAAAAATTATTCTAGAATTAGTGAAAGGAAGTTCTGCACTTTCTTAACACAAACTGGCAAAACAGTGGAAGTCATAATGGAGGACTAGACCATCATATCAAAAATAGCATTCACCATATTATAATATTCCATTATCTGCGATTCTTTACATAACAGAATAAAAAAAACCCTCTATGAACTATACTGACTGAGCGACTGCTGTTTGTCAGAGAAGTTAGTGCTAACTTTAGCAGATAGAAGGTGTCGCGTGGTCAGCGCAACAGATCCCCATGGCCATTAATCTCAGTTTTCTAGACCAGAGCCACTATTTCCTTGAAATAGCTCCTCAATTATCCTCACGAGGCTGAGTGGACCCCGTTCCAGACCCATTACTTCTCAGAAGTTCTGGTAGTGCCAGGAATAGAACCCGGGACCTCTGGAACTTTATCCAGGACCTCTGACCACTAGATCACAGAGGTGGTTGTGACTCTTGACATAGTTAAAAAGAATCTTATGTGCATACTTCTGGTCATCTGTTTGTGGCATAGTAGTAAAATATAATTTTATTAACAAATAAGACTAATACATAATTTTCTCTATGGAATAAATGATGCTCCTGAAGATACCTTCATCAGAAGTTCAAATGTGTGGGACTAAGATAATAACTCATTGTAGTTCAAAGAAACCTTACAATATATTTGTCAGCAGTTGCATCTGATGTGTTAAAACTATTCATTTAAGTGAAAAAGGATCAAGCAAGGGATAGGTGTGATCTAAAATATAATCATATCTCAGTGTCTATCATAACTAACGAGCCCCACCCCTCCCAAAAGGAGAGTGGACAAACAAGCAACTTACATAATTAACAAAAAAAATAACAATTGAAAAAGTTTTCATGAATAGATTATAAGCATATCTCATGGAAATTCTGGAAGTATCCATGACCTATTTTAAGTTTCTATCCTAGAATTTGCTAGTCCAGACAAAGGGAAATCACGAAAATCCTCAACAAGAACAGCCATTCTTCTAGCCAAAATTTTTACTGAGAACACCACAAATGGAAAGTAGGAGTACCAATCACTACACTACAACAAATATTACTGTCCCCATTTCTCACAAACCATTCCAGTCTTGAGTGAGACCTAGTTTCCTAACATAACCTAAAGGAAAACAGCAATAAAACAATTAACCTCAAATGCTTGATGTACTCACAATTTCTGATGTCTGAAATGAAAACTGCAAGACCTCTCATTCCATCTCCCCTCACACCTGGCATGTTTCCTGGGTTATGTTTGATAGATCACCTCCTAAATTAACATCATAAATTAAAATGATATAAAACGATTGTAAGGCAGATGGCAAACATTTGCATATATAAATACTGGAAATTTTAACGTGCTCTTTAATACTGAAGAGATGACTTTCAACAAACTACAAGGTCTTATCCCACAAGACAGAACCCTTCATAATCACCATCATGAAAACCTAATACGTCACTTTGTCTGCTAAATACCCACCTCGTCTCAATCAAAGAAGTGCCCAATTGTCACTTTTCCTGTAACTTTCCTACAGAACTAGATAATGCCTTTTTCTGGGGGGGAAAAAAAAATGAGTCTTCGTACTCGCATCAACATTCAAGGCTTATTAAAATGGAAGAGCTGACATGCTGTACACTACACCCTCCATTCTATATCAAAAATATCTGATGCATTGGTATTTTATAACTTTCATGCATGCTATTAATTTATATTAATGATGGATTGCTTATTTATTTTAAAAAGGTGCCAGTCCTATCTACTGCAGAAAAAAAAACATTAAAAATGGGAAAAGAATGTGATACTCATCACAGTTGTAAGACAATCCTCCCTACACAGCATCTAGCCTATGCATCATCATGGACTAATTCACACACCATTCCAGTATCTGCCTGGAGGCCTTTGGGAAAACCATGAAAAATCTCAGTGTGGATAGCCAGTGTTACAGCCAAGATTTTAAATAAACACCTCCCGAACACAACCCTACAGTATTACCATTAAACTAACCTCCTCGGTCAAATACAATTAGTACTGCTGTTACTGAGTTAAAATAAAGGAACACATCTCACAGACATAAACTTAACTTTTGTATGTATGTAAATATTACTGATTTAACATAATTTAGAGTCTACCTAACCACAATTTAGCCAACCAATCCAATAAAACACTCACCATAACAAAGTGTAAAACTTTGGTAGACGGCCATCAATACTTCACAGAAATGTACACCCACCTACTGATCCTAACCTTATGAGACATATATAACTGATGACACTCAGATAAACCAGGATCTAGTAAGCATTCAAATCACAAAAATCATTAATCAGTATGAGTGACCATAACTAAATAATCTAATTAATCCAAGCTTTCTGAAATACTGAGACTAGTGTTTATCTGAATTCATTCATACAGTAGTTAAATGTACGAACCTTCTAACTAAAAGTATCATGGGAATATCAGTAGCATCTTTTATCAAGCTCAGTCAGTAATTGTTCATTTTTAGAATACTGTAAAAATCTATACTTTTCAATTATTTGCTTGAGGCTATCATTTTCTAAACGACATCTTTTATGCTTAAAATTTCAAACCTATACAATCTCAATAATGCCAGCATCATTAAATAACCAACTAGCATTAGCACTATCCATACAAGACTCTTTTCACCTTTCCAATTCTTACATTTATCTCCTCTCGACTGGCTCTGCCACAGTCCTATAGTGATTCTGTCGGTTTCTTTTATTAATTCAGAACACTCTTCAATAAACCATTTATTTTATTTTAACTAGTAGTTCTCAGTTACAACCAGCACTACATCATACTACACTGTAATTTGAAAATGATAAGCAAAATCACGCTCTTTCATTGATTCTAGTATCAGAAAGAATTTGCTACGAATATGAAACTCACATGATCTGACCTAACCTAATTCAAAAAAAGGTTCCTTCTTACGCTGTAATGAACTTTCACTTTACAATAATAATATTCGGGTGGACTCCTGTCACGAAATCGCTGGATATATTTCTGCACAACTGTAATATAACAGAAGTTTAAACTCATAATTCTAGTCTTCATTTAGACTACATCTTTTTACTGGGTTTATAATGACGCTTCAAACGAGCTGATAGGAGCCCTTTCATAAGATTCATATAGACTTCATATTATTAGATCTATTTTACAGAACGATTACTGTTAAACTTTCATACTGTTTGGCTATTATTGCCTACAACGTACTCTACATTCCTTAAAACATTTAATCGGTCAACGAATTCGTATCAAAGTCATCTAATCGTCAAAGTTCATCCCACATATTTCGACAAGCATCATACTAAATAATACGTCCAAAGCCTCGCAGATAACTGTAACAACAAAACACTGGTACTTACACGAAGCACACAAGATGGGACTGCAAATATGAGGAGACCTAGTATGCTGTAACCGACGAAACGGACATGAAACCTTTCAGTTTCTCCGCAACATTGCCATCACCATCATCGCCATTTAGTAAATTTAGTACTCGACCACTCCACCCACTTGCTGCGAAAGGGCTTTGCTCTGAGATAGCGGCAAATTCAATTTACATATGCTTCTACCACTCCGCTCTACAAAGATTATCATAAAATCTGTCGACATAGACGTAATAATGGAATTAGATGAATGTAATAACAAGGGGCATGAAAACTGGATAACTGTAAAGAGTATTTTTTTTTTTTGGCATTTCACGACATGTTTATGAAAATTATTTGTTGAATGCAGTTTCACAGGTAAAATCGAGGGTACTGCACGTACTTACTTACTCATGGAGCTGAGCCCTTCTGGAGGAGCTGCCAATTCTACACCTACTCAAGAATTTCCCAGCATTTTATGGAACCCGAAGGTTCAATACCGTGTTCACAAGAGCCCTCCACTGGTCCCTATCCTGAGCCAGATCAATCCACTCAATACCATCCCATCCTATCTCTCTAATATCCATTTTAATATTGTCGACCCACCTACGCCTTGGTCTTTCCAGTGGTCTCTTTCCTTCTGGCTTTCCCACCAATATCCTATATGCATTCCTCGTCTCACCCATTCGTGCTACATGCCCTGCCAACCTCATCCTCCTTGACTTGATCATTCTAATTATACTTGGAGAAGAGTACAAGTCATGAAGCTCCTCACTGTGCAGTTTTCTCCAACCTCCTGTCACTTCATCCTTCTTCAGTCCAAATATTCTCCTCAACACCCTGTTCTCAAACACCCTCAGTCTATGTTCCTCCCTTAATGTCAGAGACCAAGTTTCACACCCATACAGAACCACAGGCAAAATTATAGTTTTCTATATTCTACTTTTTATGTTTTTGGACAGCATATGAGAAGACAAAAGGTTCTGGACTGAATGGTAGCAAGCATTACCCAAATTCAGTCTCCTCTTCATTTCCTCCTGAATCAGGTTTTGACCTGTTATTGCTGTTCCCAAATATTTGAATTGTGCCACATTTTCAAAACATCTGTTTCCTATCTTTATGTCATGATTTGCACTGCATTTTGGTGATGAGACAGCAACATATACTTAGTTTTCTCAGTGTTTACTTCTAGACCAACCTCTTTACTTGTGTCAATTAAAGTTTGTGTGTTATTCTTTATGGTATCTACATTATCACCCAGTAGATTCACATCATCGACATAGGCCAACAGCTGATGTGTCCCATTTAATTTCAGTACCACTTGGTTTCCCTGGACCTTCCTAATGGCATATTCTAAAGCAAAGTTGAAAAGGAGTGGTTATAAAGTATCTCCTTGTTTTAGGCATTCTGGATAGAAAATTTATCAGACAAATGTTTACCTACATGGACTTTACTATATGTTTCGTTTAACACATTTTAATCAACCTACCTAGCTTCATGGGTATCCAAAACTCTAATCAGAATATTGTACAATACTTCCCTCCTAACTGAATCATAGGCTTTCTTGAAGTCCATGAATAGCTGATGTACTGTCTCATCGTACTCCCATTTTTTCTCCAATATCTGATGAATGTAAAAGATCTGATCTGTAGTTGATCTGTTACATCAAAACCAACGCTGATGATCCCCAATAATTTAATCTATATATATGGACTTAACCTTGAGAGAAGAATATTGGATAAAATTTTGTATGAAGTTGATAGCAATGATATCCTTAGATAATTACTACAGTCAGTTTTATCACCCTTCTTGTGAACTGGTACAATATTAGACTCCTTCCACTGATCATGCAATTTTTCCTTATGCCAAATAGAAGTAATTAGATTGTTAATCTTAGAATGTAATATTTCACCTCCTGCTTGAATAAGATCTGCCAGAATTTGATCACTACCTGGCAATTTATACCGTTTCAATTTAGCATTAGCACTTTCAACCTCAAAAGGGCTAGGATCAGGCACTAACAGCTCAGCTGTACAGATTTCTGTCTCCCTAACATCACTGACCCTATGTACATTCAATAACTGAGAGAAGTAGTTCCTCCACCTATTCAAAATGTTGTGGGAATATGCAAGCAGATCACCATTCTCATCCTTCGCTAAGTTACTGCTAGGCTGGTAACCCCTCTTAAAGTGATTTATTCCTCTACACAGGTCTCTAATGTTCTTGTTCTTACTGTTCATTGCAAGCTCATCAATTTTGTCTTTCAGATATTTCCTCTTTTTGTTCCTGAAATGCCTGCTGGTTTCATGTCTTTATTACTGCACATATTACAATTAAGAACTTAGGAACGGAAGTCCCCAGAATTCATATGATTTCCAACAACTATCCAATCTTAAATTTTCTAATGGCATAATAGTGCTGCCATCTTAAAATGTACCTTACAACATAATATACTGACACATATTTACTGTGTGACGCGACAAATAACTTCACACAGGTCTTAGATCTAGCGAATTTATTGCGCTTTTATCCAAACTTACACAATTCACAATTTCAGTGTCCCAATTACTTCTTCTGCTGTAGTCACTTCCAGACTTAAACTGTCAAAGTCAAAGTCACATAGCGACTGACAGTCAGTCAGTCAGTAAGTCTTGGTGTCAAGCCCCATTTGGGGTTCATGACCAGATATTAATTATTACCGTTTGACAGTTACGGTCTTGTTTCTGTGGGGTGCCTTCTCTGACGAGAGGACGGGCCTGTCTTTTGTATATGCTGCTGGCCCTTGCCAGCGCAGTCTTACTCGGGTCTGAGTCCCTTGGGACTCGCGACCATATTTTACTGTCTCAGAATTGAGACTTCCCTTTCTGTCGCCTCTTACGACTCGCAGGGTCACAGTGGAGGTATTTGACCCCGCCTCCACATGGGGTCATCACTTAAACTGTCTTTGGCGGCTACTACATTTCAACTGAACCCCTTACATGAGCCTCTCGCGGAAAACACACAAAACGTCCTATATTGTTGGAACGTGTTTACGGACTCCACTGTTGCGTGACGTCACAGCCTAGTGGGGAAGGGCGTTTACCGAGTGTTGCATAGGGACAGGATGAGTGGGGATATGTGACGTCACTCATAGAAATGCAGAATTCACGTGACCACACAGAAAACAGCCTATATTGTTGGAACATGTTTACCGACCGATTGCATAGCAACAGTCACTCCACAGACTCCAGTGCTGCAAGACATCACAGCCCAGCGGGGAGGGCTGTTTACCAAGCGTTCCATAGTGATGGAATGAGTTGGGATATGTGATGTCACTTGTGGAAACACAGAGTTCACAAGACCCCTACTTCCTGTTGCGCTATCCAAGTGTTCACAGAGTTGTCACCTAGCAATGTGCCAATACAATCCGCAACTAAAGTGTTGCGTGCGTGCCCCGAGGCCTCTGTGTCTCAACAGTTCCTGCATAGAGCAAATACGCCACAATACTTTGGCGGTGAGCCTGATAAACAGGATTGCCTGTTCTATATTTTAATAAATTAATCTTATACATATACAATTTTAAATCACTGAAACCTTAATATTAACAACTTGGAAATCAGCCATAAAAAAAAAATATACCTCTTGTTGGAACTAGGATGACAGTATTACACGTGGTATCATGATTCGTAACAAAATTAACATGTATTGTTATTGAAATATCAGTGAAATAGGTACTGTCCCCCCAAATATGGGTGTCTTCTATTGAAATGTATCCTCTAGATAAATGCAGGAACAGTACCCCAAAACACAACCAAACTCAATTCTCGATTATCTGGGATAATGGTGGGGATGGAAATCATGATTAATCAAAAACCTGGTTAAGACAAATTTTATTAAAACCTCATTTTTATGTCATCTCATGGCCTATTTAATACTTTTTTTACATTACACTGAAGTATGAATTAGTTATTTCAATCACAGTGTTCAACAACATCCAACATTTTTTATGAATATTCATACTTAACACTTAAAAAAATTTAATATTGTCGTTTGATTTTTCGTGGCGTTTTCATTTTTACGGATATCCGTATGAAGCCTACATAATATTAGCTTGTCACTTAATAAACTGTTCTCTTCACTCTCAAGATAGTCTAGTAAGGATTCCAAATGATTAAGAGCAGCACCATGTGCTTTTTCAAATCACGAACAGTTTGTTCTCCAATACCGTATTGCAATGCTAATTGTTTAACTACACCTCTTTTTCCCAACTAATTGATAATTTCAAGTTTCTGTTGAATACTTAACACAACACGCTTCCTTTTACACCCTGACATTTCGCTAATGCACTTGAAGATCAATACAAAGGGACTAACTGGGGCGGTGTATCTGTCCTTGAAACTTTCCACAAATCCTTGCATTCTTTCACCCCTACCCTAGAACACTGTGTTAGCATAACAGGACCAAAAAATGCAGAGCTCGGTTCACACCAGTGCGAAAATAGTATTACAACTCACCACGTGAAACAAAAGTGAATGAATATTAAACAACATATAAGCCTCAAAAAAGCCCCGGTAAACCCGGTTAAGCCTCAAACCAGTTTATCCGCCCCCGAATAATCGAGAGTTGAGTGTACTTACTTCCATGTCCTTTCCTGTTCATTATTTATTAAGCATTGTGCCATTTGAATCTGCACAGTCCGAGCTACATGAGGGAATCAAATAATTCTTCTACAACTTTTTCTTCTGAGTTATTTATTAAACGTTTTTTCACACATACACACACATGTATCTGGACACATCTATTCTCAAAGGGACTATTTCCACATCCTAGGTTTGTTACCTACATGGATATATGGAAAACAAAGTAAATGAATGAATGAAGGTTTATTTTTTCTGATGGTATGTAATAATACATCATACTGCTTGTTCTTCCGTGGAGCATAAAATAATGAAAAATTAAAGTTTTCCTATGAAACTTCACCAAACATACTTTTCAGTTCTCATTATACTGATTTTTGTTCCTCATTTACCTAAAAAACACATTGGTCTCGATAGTTTAAAGATTAACTTTTTTTCAAAAAGGATTTCAAGAAACTGTTATCTGTAGGCCTTTGCTACATTTAAATATAAGCAATTATCTTCTAGGAAAAAGAGAGTTGCATTTATAAAAATACATTTTCCAGAATAAAAATTAAAAATTAAATTAGAATGATTCTGTCAGGGCTCCTATACAAAATATAAGTAATTTCTCTTATCCTTAAAATTGTAATAAAATCACTAGAAGTTACCTGGCTTCTTAGCTATAATAACAAACTAAGCTTTATTAGAGTTTTGGTGCAGCATATTTTAAAATTTGTATTATCACAGTTAAGTTTCCCATGTTTCACACATAAAGTACAGATTGTATACTAGTGATTAACATTAACCCACCTCTCATAATTCAACCATGGAAGTCAGTTATGCCTACCACCCTTGTCCTACTTCCTTTTGTCTCTACTGGTGGTCCTCATATTCACCAGGATAGATAGAGCTAAAAAGAAGATCACCCCAGTCACTACCTAAACCTGTGCTAACTTGTAATTCATCACAATCCTAACAACTCCGTTCACTATCTCCACAAAACTATATTTTTACAGGGAAAAGACACTACAGCATAACCTAAAATCAGATGATATTTCCACATAATTTTTCTCATAATAAAACACATATAAAAACATTACCTTTGATCTCACTTTTGTAACATATATCATGATTCAAGTATATCTGCTTTTATTCCACAAAAAGAGTGTCACCAAAACTGTATTAGTATTTTCCTTTAAAGCAGATTTTGAAATATCTGATACATTAGCACTTATACGGTACCGAAGACCAGGAATGACTTTTCAAATCAAAACAAACTATCTCATTTTTTCTTAATCCCACTTTCAGTAGTGGACAAAGCTCTTATCAATGACACAGTTATATGCACCCAGTTCTAAATTTCAAATATCAGGAAAAAAGAACTTACACTTGAAGGTCACACAAAGTAAAGCAATTTGTAATTTCATGAAATTATGATGGGATGTCATATTGCAGTCTTCTGAGTTATAACATTACATATCAAATTACATGGTGTCATATCTCAAGATGTGTATTATTGGACAAAACTGGTACACTAGGTAATTTTATCTGTATTTCATTAAGCGCTATAACATGAAGTGTGGTAGCATAGTTGGTTGAGGCACTATGCTATAAGCCGGAAGGTCGCGGGATCAAATCCCGATGAGGTCATTAGAGTTTTTTCAATTTACCTAATCCTTCCAGCCGCACTATGGCCCTGGGATCGACTCAGCCTCTAACAGAAATGAGACCTGGAATGTTCTTGGAGGTAAAGGGTCGCAGGCGCGTAAGGCTGACAACCTTACCGCCATCTACAAGCCGATTGTCTAGAAAATGTGGGAAACTCAATATCTCACAACCCTATGGGCCTCCACAGCCTGTTACAGGGATACCTTTACTTCTTTATTTTTAATTGCTAGTGGGGTGGGACTAAGTCCCTTGTACTGCGGCCACTTCTGGCCTATTGTACCAGCCCCAGATGATAGGTGAGGGTGATTGTGGAGCAATTGGTGGAATGAAGACTGGCAGGGATAACCGAAGTACCCGGAGAAAACCTGCCCCAGCGCCACTTTGTCCACCACAAATCCCACTTGACCAGACCCGGGATCAAACCCGGGCCGCCACAGTGGAAAGCCAGTGACTAACCGCTTGAGCTATGGCGCAACCCATACCTTTACTTACTTTTACTTTGAATATGGCATGAAGACATATGGGGGAGAGAAAGTATAAATACATGCATTTTTAACCTTCATACTATATGGAGGTGAGTGAAAGGCTTTGTGCACTGGCTGCTTTGTAGCCGGAACGTACTGGATTGGAGGCTAGATAAGATCCAAAGCCAGTCTGGACAGTGTCAAAAAGAAAAAAGGGTCTCTTGCCCCTAAAGATAATTGAACCCAAATTCCTTGTCATCCAGCCTGCAATCTAATTGCTAACCAACTAAGCTGTCCTGGATCATATTATTGTACACAATTAAAAAATGCAGAATATGCTACCCTAGATTTGAGGTGAAACCCATATTCCAGGATGAACTACATGATAAATGAGATAAACATAGCAAAATTGTGAGAAAAATGTTATATTACCTGACAAAGAAACAGTAGTAATTCTATACCTGGTTTCCATACTTTTGCTTTTCAAAACCTTCTTCATCATTAAAAACTGAAACAGAATGATTTTATAATGATATAACCCCCCCGTTCCATATTTTCCACCAGATGCTTATTTAGGTTACATCTTGCATACTACTGCCGACACTTCCCTTGATAAGTGTAGATGGTCACACACAAGAATTAACATTGATAGTACACACCACAAAATATGAATACGACCAACATAATTATTTAATCTACAAGCAGGAATAAAACTAATGATTTGGTCCTCTCATACCTTCTTGCCATGTTTCTATTCAGACACCAATAGTTTCATTCTATTTAAACAATCAAGAAGGAAAAAAACACATTTATGTGAGTAACTATAATAATTCTTATGCAGCAGACTGAACACCTAGCTATGAATGAAAACTGTCAAATTGAAACATGAAGTCTGCCTAACAGCCAAATATCTTGCTACAGAATTTGAAGAATTATTTTCAGATTAAATAACAGTTACAGGCATACGGATGTACATATTGGCTCTGTAGTATATGTGTATACCATGAAATACATAAGAATACTCTTTACCATACAGAAGACTAAAAGTCAGCTCCAAGAGATGTCAACAACTATGAAAACTAAATGTTATTCAAAGCTTTATTTGACAAATGGATCTTGTTATATAATTTTCACAAGAAACATAACAGGATCTTTTCCTGATCAGTTATAAATTTAAAAAAATGCCATAAGAATTATCATACTTACTCAAATGTTAAGTGTAGAATATGTAAGTAATTTTTTAAGTCTGTAAAAACAATATTCAAGTCTGGCTAAAACATCTCTGTAAACATTTCACACCTTCAACAGGCAATCTTGCAGATCAGAATTCCTCTGTGTTCAATGAGGACCACCGGTTTGCTGATCTTGGTTCCCACTGTATATTGAAAATTGAGTCTAGTAACTTTTAAATTCAGTGTTGCCGCAAGACCTGAGGCATGAACTGTCCTCCCTTGTTCAAATGCTGGGATTGTTGGTTCAAATCCCACTCAAGGCATGGATGTCTGTGTGTGTATTTATTCTGTGTTTCTGTTGCCCTGTGTGTAGGTAGCGGCTTTGTGACGGGCTAATCACTCAACCAAGGAGTCCTACCATCTGTGTAAAAAAGATTACAAAACTGTAGAAGAGGCCAGGGCCCAACATAGTAATGTAGAGCCAGTGCTGAATGAATGAATGAATAAATGAACTTTTAAATTATGACATAATTATCTAAATTACTACCTGATGATGACACAACCTCTAAGATGTTTTAGACACAGAATATTGTAACTGTTCGACTGCTACAGATTATGTGACAGAACAATAAATTAAATTTATAGTACTAAATAAAAGTCACTGAACTATTTATGCCACCTTGCATGAAATGTGGGGATTACTGCATTGCTAATATTTTAGATTCTCATGGCAGTGAATATTAATATGGTAATATTGACTGTGTCATTAATAAATCATCATGCATTGCAGTATTTCTCAAAACATGTCAAATATGAGGTCTCACAGAAACAAGTATGAGAAGTACTATCTTCTGAGATGTAACGACACGTAGTCTGGTAGTAGTTCACCAACAGTACAGGAAATGTTTTGCCCCCATCTTCAAGGTCAAACTGAAGAGTAAGCTCAGCTTGTTGCATGCTTCTTACTTGGCTTACTCTCTGACCCTGAAGCTGGAGTCAGTATGTTTCTCCAAAAAGTTGAACTTCTATCAGACGACACGGTACCTCAGCCCTGAAAATAGTAACCTCCTCAAAATATGCTTCAGAGAACAATTATGGCACAGCCTTTCTTCACATTTTTATGTTGCTTCTATAAATGCAATAAGTCTAGTGTGCTTTCCGCTTATGATTTACCTCACTAGTGGTAAGGAAATGCCAATAATATTTCAGCCAAAAGTATGAGACACCCATAGCACAGTACACAGATGTAAGCATAAGGGGTAAGAATGGCAGTCTAGTGTTCAACCCCAGTAATGGATATACCACATTTTCAAACAGAAAAAGCGGAACTAGTCCTAAAACATAGATTGATTCAAGTCCATTAAGAAGAGGAAGACATAATGAACACTTCTTGATATCAAATAAACTGGCTAAGTTTAAAAAGGCATATGAAGAATGGAGGAGTACCAGAAGCACCTTGATAGGAAGTTCAAATGCTGTAAACAGCAAAGGAAACAGGGAATAATGTCCCACTGTAGCAAGAAGTACATACATCTGAGCTTCTTTCTTCCATATTACAGCCATGAAACTGAAATAAATCACATAACACATCACAAACTTATCTATTAAAAACTTAACTAACAGCATTTTTGCTTATATTCTTACTTTCTCAGGTGACTTCATACTTATGAGCATATATGAAAAATATGACACTTTTGATACAATTAACTCCATGAAGCAGAGTTCTTCTTGAGAAGCTGATAATTGTACAGCTGGTCAAGGCATTTATAGCATTTTCTGGAATATGAAGGTTCATTACTATGTTCACATGAGCATGCCAATAGGACCTATCATGAGCCAAACGAATCCAGTCCACACCCTCTAAACCTACTTCATTAAGATCCACTTTGGGCCGCGCCATAGCTCAAGTGGTTAGTCGCTGGTTTCCCACCGCAGCGGCCCAGGTTCGATCCAGGGTCTGGTCAAGTGGGATTTGTGGTGGACAAAGTGGCAGGTCTTCTCTGAGTACTTCGGTTTCCCCTGCCAATCTTCATTCCACCAATTGCTCCACAATCACCCTCACCTATCATCTGGGGCTGGTACAATAGGCCAGAAGTGGCCGCAGTACAAGGGACTTAGTCCCACCCCACTAGCAATAAAAAAAAGATCCACTTTAGTATTATCCTCTCACTTATGGCTGTGTTCCCAAGTAGTCTCTTCCTTTCAGGTTTTTGAAACAAACAATTTTATTGCTTTTCTTTTCTCCGTCAAGAATTCTACATGCTTGCCCATCTCATTATCCTTGATTTAAACACTGTAATATTTGCTAAAATGAAGAAATTGTTAAGCTGTTCAGTGAGCAGTTCACTCCATCAGCCTGTTACTTCCTCCATCTAAGGTCCAAATATTCTCCCCAGTGCTCTGTTCTCAAACACCCTCAATCTATGTACTACCCTAAAGTAAGAGGCAACTTTCACACCCATTTAAAATGAAAAGAAAAATTATCATGTTATGCACCTATTTTAAACTTTACACTCACCTACCATACACCTGGGCATCCCTTTGGTACTGTTCAATGGTACAACTTAACAAATATAGCACCAAAATGACCTTCTGAACAATAATGAAGTTCATTGATTAATTTTCTGCAGAGTATCCATCGCCCTAAATTTTATTTGATATGACATTCTGGAGACAGGACTTATCTTTGTCATCAAGTAAAAAGCTTACTCCATTGTGCTCAACAGATAGAACTAGTCCATATCGCCAGAAGATGGAGACAGAATCCAGTCTAAGAAATCCTTGAACAATGATTAACTCTTTGACTGGCGCGAAGGGTATTTAAATCCCACCCCTGTCCTGGCAGGCCCTTTAAACCTTATGTTGCTAAAATGCATGTAGTTACTTTTTCCTAAACAACTTCAACAAAAATTGGTTTTTAAAAACGAAATTTTCAGGAACTAATTAAAAGACAATATTTTATGCAATAAATGCCTTTCCATACCTCTTTATTAGTTTTTCTTCATGTGATAAACATTGAAACATAAAAGTCTGCAGAGAGCCACACCACAGCCTGCATACATGACACTTGTTTCTTTTCTAATCTTGTGCTTAGCACTCACACGACACTTTCTCAGGGCACCATTCTTCTTGTTACTGGGAGGAACATGGACCATTTTGTGAATTTTCAGGCCACCCTCTAGATGATTTACTGGCTCTTACACTGGTGGTCTTTTCAAGGTCGAGGGCGGAGGCGTGACTGCACTCGAGTCTGACGCAATAGATTCGTCATCCACTTCATTCCTTGACTCTTCTCCCTCTCCACATTGTCTGTTTGGCTCAGTCATTTTTCTACACAGTCCAATATAAAATCTTTGAATTTGTAATTTCTCTTCTTGTATTTTTCGTTTGTTGTGTTCTTTTTGAATAGAATGAAACTATTCAACCGCAAAGACATGTTTTGTCCATACCATGGAGTGTGAAATAGGGGCATAGTGGACAAATATTCTTCAATTTCAGGGCGTTTGTCGATTCCTGTCATGAACACAATTCCTAAGTATGCCCATATTTCATCTGATGCGACATATTTGTAATTGTGTTTTCGAGAGTGAGGAGCTAACTCATGTGTGTTGAAGTGCTGGTGAGCATAGCGATTGGTTTCAGTTGTGATGTGATTTACCAAGTCGTCATCCAGAAAAAATTTTAATCCATGAAAAGGGATGCATTTTATGTGTTATATCAATTTTGATCCCGAAACTATTAGCAAATGGAAATATTGGGGGTACAATGTCTCCGTACGTTCATGAGATGGGCGTGTCAGGCACCGCACTCGTGGTAGGTAAATGTTCATGATTACTGTCTTGTGGATCATTGTCTATCACTGTATTATTGTCACTATCAACTTCATCCAATTCAGGAATCATTATTTCATCGCCACTATCATCATCAGAACAAATCTCGTTCACAACATTTTCCAGCTGGTCTGTAGGAACACGAAGACACTTGCTGCAAGAAGCCATGGTGAAACTGAATGAATGTGAAATATTTTCTGACCTTTTCCTTCTCAGAGGGTTCTGACAGTAATATAGACCCCCACAAAGTTTACAAGGGTTCTTTACAAACATGCACAAAAACTATCATATATATGTCTTTGGTTGATGAGTGCCAAGAGAGCAAAGAAGGGAAGAGATTGTCAAAGCGTTAAAACACGCCAACGCCAGGGAATGGCTGGCATCGTCCGGGCGTTAAAACACGCCCGCGCCAGTCAAAGAGTTAATGTCCAGAAAATACAATGTTCTATTAATATATCAATGTCAAAAACATTTTTGATTTTATTCACACTAAAGTTCATCATAATCACTCAACAGCTGAGAAGTTACTGGGGGATCTACAGGAGGCTGATGGATGTACAAGTATAAACAAATTAACTCTAGATGCTGTTTTCTATTCAGAAAACAAAGCTAGAAGCATGTTATACAGTTTTCAGACTTTCATTGGCTTAATTGCAGAAATTTATCTCAACTCTCCTATCATTGACCATGAACATCAACATACTTTGGGGAACCCCCACCTCAGCCGTCTCAAGTATGAACTTGCATAATGTATAACATATGCTAATGAACATTTCTGATATCAGTTGTACATCAATCATTTGTTCTTACTGTCAGTGTATAATTATGCTCTAAGTACAAAGAAAACAGACATTTTCTAAAAACAGACCTTAGTGGAATGATGATTAAAAGAACAGCCTTTTCATGCACATGCCAGCCAAACATGAATGAGCCACAGGCACAGAGAATTATGCAGCGCACAAAATGGTATGGGTTCCCTGGACAATACCACAGCTTCACCAGTGCTGGCTAAAACACATAGTGGAACACACACTGTTAAACTATACAAATTATTTGATTATAAATTATCTGAGATGTTTCACAAACATATTTTAAAAAACTAAAAAACACATTAAACTCAAACATATACCAATGAACAGAACAAACCACAAAGTTTCTTTTGGCACATCACTAGAGTCCAATGTATGCTCTATTTGTGGCTCTGCAAACATCAAAGTAATATTCTACTTCCTGCCAAACATTCTTTTGCATGTGATGACCAACTTCCCCAACAGAATTTCATATTCTGTGGAGGAATGGTGGAATATAAAGTTCATTCTTGACATAGCCTGCAGAAAAGTCAAAAGGAGTTAGATCTGGTGAATGTGTTAGCCAAGAAATCGCCCCCCCCCAGCTGATTCAAGTAACCAGCAACTGTGTTCATGAATACTGTCATGTCACTGTGCATATATGATGGCACACCATCATGTTGGAAAACAACATCTGGTTTCTCTTCTAAAAACTGGGACATCAACCAAATCTCCAACATGTCATGCTTGATAATTCCATTGATTATTTTCTCTTGAAAGACGAAAGGTCCATTCAAAAAAAAAAAAAAAAAACATGACCTTCAAGCTGTCCTTTATGTGTTGAACCATGCTGTGAGAATTTTCACTTCCTCATACTCAAAAGTTATGCCTGTTCGTCTTCCTACTAAATTAAAATTATGTTCCATCACTGAAACATATTTTTGATAGGTACATTTCATCTGGTAAGGATATACAGCAAGATGTCTTCTTGGAATATTTCACATAACTGCCTGCAGTACATTCAGCTCATGGTCAACTCAATTTCTCATACTTTCATTCTGTAATGACTTATGGTTTGATCTTCTGGGGCAAGTCTCCCCAAAGTATCCTTATTTTTAGGCTCCAGGAAAGGGCAATTAGAATCATCACTAATTCTAGGAAAAGCAACTCTTGTAGGTAATTGTCTAAAAAACTGAAAATTTTTCCCTTCCAATCACAGTATATATTTTCTCTCTTGTTATTTATGGCCGAAAACAGAGAACAATTTAAAACTAACTCTCAAATTCATAGCATTAATGCAAGACACAACAATAACCTTCACTATCCTACATGCAATTTGTCAGCATTCCAAAAAGGAACATACTAGTTTGGTAACAGGGTTTTTAATAGCCTCCCTCCTAGCATAAAGAACATAGCTCATGATATCAAACAATTTAAAATTGCTTTAAAAAGAGTTTTACTCCTAAATTAATTTCACTCACTGGAGGAATATTTTAACCACAATATTGATTAAAGATCCTGGTTCATTACATGCTTAATGAATGGCAGTCTATTTCATACTTGATTATTGCAGTGTTGTTCATCGATAGTTTGACGCACGCTTGAAGTCACACATTGCATAGCGGTTGTCTTGACAATGCGTGTTTGAGTGTGTTTGTCTAATTGTACCCAGGTAAGCAACGTAATCTGTTTTGTAGTTACTGTTTATTTTAGTTTACCAGCCAAGTAAGGCACCATGAGTGTAAGTGAAGGAAGGAAGGAATGAGTAAATAAATTATAGCCAATGAAATAAAATAACTGTATACTAGTAATTAAATTATACTCATTGGAAGAATATTTTTTATCTATGTTGTCGTTCTGTTCGCCGTTTTTGACTGTATTTTAATGTATTCACAAGTCTCCCTTATGGGGATCTATGGATCTATGAATGTATGAATGGAGATTACTTGCTTGCTTTTACTTTTACTTACTTTTACTTATTTTTACTTGCATATTTTATAACCTTTAACGATGTACACATTGACAGCTTTTGACTAAAGGCTCAAATTGTGATGCACAAGCATAATTAACTTGTATCTATGTAATTCATAATCTTATTGCTTATTAGTAATGTACTAATTGACACTGTTTCTGTTAACAGGTTCCAATTGTGATGCATAAGTACATTTAACTTATATTTATGTAATTTGTAATCTTATTAATTTTTCAATTGCACTGTTACTGTACATATGTCATTGTATTTTACTTGTACCATATCCTATGGTGTCTACCTGTATCTGGATTTATGGAACATAAATAAATTGAACAACTGAACAATGCACTGATTTTGTTGGACTGCATATAAATTATGTCTGAATAAGATCAAAACTTTCCTGCACTGATATTTGGCCAGCCTGAATTTTTACCTTTGCCTACAGAACTGGATGACTGTGACAGGTTCACTCTTTCTAAGGCACCCAATAGAGCAGGTGTCTGACCCCTCATCAGAGGACGGAAACAGATCCAGTTTCCGAAACATTGTGTTCTCCAGTTTTTAGAATACCGGATGATGGACAAAGTCCAAAAACCCAGTAATTCTGAATGTGAACACAAATATACAAACATAGAACAAAATTTATATATTAATTCATTCACTTCCCATGTAACATTTAGCAAAAGTTTTCAAGGTGAACGCTATAACATTGCCCCCTCTTCCACATTGCTATTCCCAGAACCTTAGATTATTAATCCATATTTTGCCCAACTTTTAGAGCTGGAGAAATGATAACTAGATAGTATATAATTACTTACCAGAACTGAGAGAAGTGTACAAATGAAAGTAGTTCTGGGTGTAACTTCTGGTAGAATAACATGCTTGTATTCTTGAACAAGGCCACCAGTCATAACAGCAGCAGGCACATTCCTGATAATTCCAAACTGTCTACCTACAAAGCAGATCTGACTATAACAGAGGCCTTGAAGTACTCCCTTAACTTTAGGATAAGCATCCTACCACTGAAACATGGGTAGGACTATAAGGAAACTTGTAAATTTCTAACATTTTGTAACAGATTTACACAGGAAAACACTGGAGACAAAAAAATATTTTTGTACGTTCACCACTATGAGAATCTTATATCATGGTGTCTTAATCTGCATTGCTGCAAACTTCCAGGGGACTGTGATCTACTCTGTGGAGGGGGGGGGGGTCACCATGTTCTCAAGAATTATTTAAAATATAGTTCTATCTGGCGAGTCAGTAAGATTTAACATAAATGCTTTATGAAAATGTAGCAGCAGCCAGAAAGCATTTGTATGTACAAACATGAAACACTGTTCATTGCAAAATAAGTGTGATTAACACGGGAATTAAAATTAATAACAGTTTGCCCCTTGACTTAAAAAGAATAGAAAATTTTAAAGTCTATAAAAATAAATAAAAAAGTTATTTATTACCAAACTGTATTTATCCTCTGCAGGAGATTTTAGTAACAATGATGGACAGTAGTTTGGTGGCTTGGGTTGGTTCTGATGTGGTGTAGATGTATACATGTATAGATGGTACAAACGTACGTGTTGCTTTATACAGGATTGTTGGGGGTTGTCATCCTCGGTTGCTAGCTTCAGCAGGGGGGGGCGATGATCCTAAGATGATTGTATTGTTCTTAGTCTTGTGTTTCATTTTGTACATTTTTAAGAGTTGTTAACTTGTACTGTTTTAGATGATTTAAACTGACTTGTCAAACTGTAGTTGTGTTAACAGTTTATGGATGTAAATTAAAAGTAAAGTAAAGCTATCCCTGTACCAGGCCGTGAAGGCCCATAGGGTGGGGAGACGTTGAGGGTCCCACATTATCTAGACAATCAGCTCAAAGGTGGCGGTAAGGTTGTCAGCCTTATGCATCGGCCACGCTTTACTCCCCAGGAAAATTATTTAATTAATTCCTGGTACTCATTTCTGTTAGAGGCTGAGTGAACCCCAGGGCCATAGTGTGGCTGGAAGGATTAGGTCAACTGAAAAAAATCCAACGACCTCATCGGGACTTGAACCCGTGACCTTCCAGCTTATGAATTATTAATTTAACGTTTTTTTTTTTTTTTTTGTGACTGTTTTTTTTTAAGCTTACTACAGGTGTGGAAAAGTTGTGAAGCTATTTATGTTCCTACTCTCGCCACACAGCATGACAGAGACTGGGAACAAAGTGACTGTACCTACTAATGGCTGACAGGTATCGAGATTGTGTAAATTTATGTATCATTTTAGAGGTTCACGGTATCTCAGAGTTTAAGAAAGAGAACTGGCTCCAAATATTTCAAGCAACAAAAGGTAACAAATTACATTAAGGCCAGAATTCCATTATGATTATAACTTCTGTTCATAATGCAAGGCAATTATTTTTAATAGAAGTTTTATGGAAATATAAACCACATACATCTCTCTACACAAAAAAATCATGATGATGCTGTGTGAGGGTGAGATAACAGTGTGTCCATAACGCGCAGCACGTGTTCATTACAGACAGTACTAATTCCACCAGCAACAGTGTTTCTGCTGTCAGCTGTCTTCATTTCCATGAGAAGTGCTTATTTAAAAAGGTTTCTTGAAACCTGAATTTTGCATTATTTTCAGTGTTGAATGTTATGATTTGACTGTTAGTGCAGAGAGTCCCTAGTGACAATATATTTACATTGTATCCATATTTATGGCATGGTAAGGTTTCCATCAACACAACAAAAGTGGTTTCACAATCAATCAATACTCAGACTGAATTTTATTTTCTACCGCTAAAGGTTTTGGTGCTCATAGGACCATCATCAGGCAGTATTATGATCCATATTTAGGAGTTCAATAACTTTAGCCATATGATCATAATACTGCCTGATGATGGTCCCATGAGGATCAAAATTCAGTCTGAGTACTGACTGACTGTAAAACCATGCTTGTTGTGTTGATGGAAACCTTGCCTTTCTATATACTTGTGACACACAACAGGATGCACGCCATGAAAAAAAATTATCCAGAGTTAGCCAATTCAAAACATATAAACTTTTGTTTCAAATCTGGAAGAAAAGAGGCCACCAGGAAGACTTAGATGTAGGTGGGAGGATAATATTAAGACGGATCTTAGAGAGACAGATGAGGTGGCATGGGCTGAATTGATCTGGCTCAGGATAGGCACAAGTGAAGGGCTCCTGTGAACACAGTAATGAATCTTCGGGTTCCATAAAATGTTGGGAAATTCTTGAGTAGCTGCAGAACTGACAGCTTCTCAAGAAGGGCTCAGCTCCAAGAAGTTAGTTATTTAAGTGGTGTATGTTTTCAATCAACATTCTCTTTCTCTCCAGGTCTTCACCTAAACATTTTCAGACTTTATATTTCTTGTTACATAATACACCCATTAACTTCTCATGTAAGCATATTTTGTACCTGCAACTGTGGCCATTTTATCAGCAATATTATAGAGAGCCCAGAAGTTTGGTGCCCAGTAGGCATGACACAGCCCTCGTTTAAATGGGAACAGTCTTGAAAATACCTGTAACACACAGATATCACAACGTTCACAAGACCCTATCAAAGCCCATTACTTAAAACAGCTTTAAAAAGCAAATGCTACAAAGTAACAAGTAAACAAAGCATACCTATGTAATTCAAATACTGTCAAACTTCTCAAAATAAAAATTAATAATGAAAACCATACACAATATTAAAAACTAATCTCATCCTGTTTTGTAACTCTGGTCTAAAAACTTTTCCATGACAAATATTCAAGGAGTAACCCCAAAATTAATTTATAGGTTGAAAAGAGTTGCAGTTATAATTGGTGAATAAATTGGAAATATAAATTGTTGTACAGAAATTCCTCACCAACCACAGATTCTGCCTATCTTTGGCTTTGCATCTATATCCAGTTCTGCCCTGGGATAATTGGTTTCATGAATCCACAAACTTAATTTGTGTGCACAGAGAAAAAACTTAAGATTTCTGCATCAGGAGAATGCATTTGCTGGAGGTAGGGCCGAATTACATCAAAAACCAGATATTTAATTCCCAGATTATCACTGTGATGCATTTTTCGGGCAGTTTCTCACATTTTGTACCCAACATGTTTATAATGTTGTAGGGCCCTAATGTTTAGCTGATTTTTATATTTATATTTTGATGGGTCTTATGAACCAGTGCCTGGTGCATGTTAACGGCAGCCGCAGTTCCAAAAACCCCCAATTTCCCACAGAACCAACCATGACATATTTCAAGAATGCAAGCCATGTGGTTGGCAAGAGATTCCTGTGCTAGTGAAATGTGAGATGCCTTATTAGTCACCTGAGGTAATTGGTTCAAGATGACAAAAGGTCCAAAAGAGACTAGGAAAACAGATGTCACCACTAAACCAAGCTTGGCAAATCGAGTCAGAGAGAAAGCTCGCCACTGTACAGAACTTCCAGAATGTGTTCCCAGGAAGCAATAGCTACGCAGGAGATAGACAAAGTATGCTGGAGCCACATACATAAAAATGTGTTTCAAATTGAGAAGAACTCCAAACCAGAATGCTCCCATCAAGCAGTGTCCCTGAAAATACCAAATCATGAAACAGAGTAGTATTATGACATACTGTACATATTTTAAGTTTGATTTATTAAAAATGTGTTAATGAAATGAAGGTACTCTAGAGATTCTGATTAACCCTATAAATGTCAAGTACCAGAAATATGTACCTTTATTGGCATGTGACATCTGTCGTCATCATATCTTAAGTACATAGTCCAGACATGTTTGGAGGGAATTTCTTCATACATTTAAAGTTTGTGGTAAGATTTCTATTTATATAGTTATGTTTATAAGCATAAGTTATTCCTAAATTACCTTATTAAATTTTTTACTTTATATTATTATTTATGTTAATCAATTAATGTAAGTGATTTTGATTACGTGACTCTTGTAATTTTGTATATGTTATCTTGATATATCTATTTTCAAAGAGACCAGTTCCATATCCTAGGTTTGTTACCTGTATGGATATATGGAAAATAAAGGAAAGGAATGAATGAATGAATATAATTTCTGCCTAGGTCATGTGTTCTTATCATCTGATATTCACATGTATTTCAAAACCATAGCCTTTACCAGCTTCTACAATTCCTAATACTGACCATTGTGAGAACCTCAGATCTCTTATGCCAGCACTTCTATTTATGATATATATGTGTTGATTATAGCTTTGTTAAACTGGCCCTACCTATGCCCTCACTATTGCAACATTTTTTTGTAAAACTTCTGCAATAATTCAAATAAATAATAATGTTTTAAATAGGGAGCTGGTTGAGGAGTAAGAAACATATTCTGAACCCTGGCAATCTGTCTCATGAATATCTATTGTGTCAATATTTTACTGGATATTTCAAAATATTCTATGAGAAGAAACATAAATTAGCACAAAACATGGAATTGAAATTACCTGCAGAATTCTAGCCACAGAGATCAACAAAATTCCTAGTAGAAAACCATTGTATTGAAAATGGATATGATCAACCATCAGTAAGCCAGCATTGCCCAAGAGAAGGATCTGCAAGATCGCAGCTGGTGACCCCCAACGAGATCCCCATTTGCTGCTTTTTCGGATTCCACTGCTGCTCAAATAGCTACACAGCCTAAAATTAAGCCAAAGCTTAACATCTTTTCTTTCTCTAAGTAAAATTATTGTTTACATTAAAGTTTATTTCAGTCCAATGTGACATATATTGCCTTCACCACTTCAGCACTTAGTTACCCAACATGTTTCGATTTTTAATAAATCATCATCAGAGGTATACCACTACGATCAGGAACCCACCAATACGTAAATGTTTTTATAAATGTGGTGAAGGCATTATATGTCACATTGGACTGAAATAAACTTCATTGTAAACTTAATAGTGTGATGGACCAGAATGAAACAAATCAAATACAATTATTGTATTTTTATAACAAACTTCCCTTTATTTTAGTTCCTCCGAAACGTCGGTTAACACCACATATACACGGCGCCAAAGCCCAGAAGACTGCTTTCTTCATAAATCCTTTTGTTGCCATATTCTCTTACAAACAAGAAGCTTTAAACTGCATGAAAGTGAAGCAAGTAACGATTTTGTTTGTGCTTCTTGGAATGGTGTAAAATCGTATTAAGAGTTTTCCAAAAATAGGAGTCACTGTTGTGTGAAAGGAGAAAAAAAAATCATATGCTAATGGATTAACTTCATTTATCTGGTTCATGACAACATGTAGTCTGATAGATGGGCAATGTCTTGGAGAAACTTGCTGCCTCTACTTTCAGGACAGAAAAGTAAGCCGCTGATATAGAGAAGAGAGGGACAAGGACTGACACAAGGAAGTTGTACAAGTGGACTTCCCTTCCCTACGTCACTGACCATTTTTCCTTACACATCTTACTTTCCTGCCTTGAATATGGAGCAGATGATTCCTCCAAAATGTTAATACTGATCTACCAGTCCTCAAATTCTATATTTATTTACCAAAGTTATCAAACATTCCTAGTATTTTACCCCTTTAACATGGCCCATGTTGTCATTCAACACAAGCTGAAGACATGAAATACCCTGAAACATGAGGTGAGTATGCATATCCAATTTCCAATCAGAATCTGTGACAGGTCATTCCAGACTAAGGCCAAGACCACACATAATCTCAAACTGCCTCTCCTCGTCCTCGGACGACCGAGGGGTCAGAGATCAAGTCCCAATATGGTCAAGAATTTTCTCTTCTCCATGTAGTTCAGACCAGCTCTGGGATTTAACCGACTCCTATCCAATGGGTACCATGGGCTCTTTTCCTGGAGGTTAAAGCAGCAAGGGCATGAAGCTGACCACTCAACTCCAGCTAGTGCTGACATCAAGAAAATGTGGATCTATACATCCACTCCCCATACGCCTTCATGGAGTAATGCTTAATTAATGAAGTTAAAAATGCTCTAAAAGGATAAACCTCATGGGGGGGAAAGCTGGAATTTAATGTCTCAAACCAGAATTAGTATTGCACAAAATTTCAGTTGTAGGTTCTTCCTCAACTTGAAAAAACTGCAATGATATGAAGGAGCAATTTTATGTACATTTCAATACTTCCATTTAAAATTAAAAACTAAAAGATTTGTCTTTAAAAAGATATTTATATAATACACCATAATGTTTATTAACTTAATAACAAAATAATAATGATAGTAACTGGTTCTGAAACATAACTTTTTCTAAGCTGTAACATTCTCGGGCAAGAAATGATTGCTGAAAAACATGCAGAAATTTGTTTTTAATTATATAAAGTGTCAGTAATTTCTGTAAACATGTAACTTTTATAAGCCATTTGTCCTCAGGCAAGTTCAATCCACAATCTAGTTTATCGGGCAAAAAAGATCTTACGGACATTTAAGCATATCATTTCTGCTCTCCAATGCAAAATGTATGTATTTATACATTCTGCTGACACAGTGAGGCAAAGCTAAAAACTAACTTTTAGATCACAAAAAGTGGTAATAATATGATTATAATCAATTGAAAACATATATTTTGTAACTTATTTCTTATAATTGTAAAATTTCATGTTTGAATACTTACTCCAAAGTCCCATATGCAAATACAATGTCTGTAACAATCACTGATAACCTCTGAAACAGAACTGTTCTTGGAGATGCGTAGTTTAGACTCTTCACTTGCAACATCTCGGCATCAAAGTACTTTGCAAAACAGGACAGGATAAACTCAAACCATGCAAAAAGTGGGGGATAGTCTAACGTCCATTCTGAAGTGGCTTCCTGATACCATTTGCTTATAGGCAGACTGTGGGTAATGGCCAACCAATTGCGATGCACCTCAAAATCTGTTGAATGACTGAAAAACAGAATTATAAAATTATTTTCAAGGCAGTAAAAGAACTATAAATATAATGGGCATATTACATATAAGTTTTTATACACTCCGAAATATGAGCCATATCTTCAGCAAACAAGAGAGTTTCACCAACCAAGTGTAATCACTAGTTGACTATATGGTGCAATTACATCATGAGATGACAAATGCATTGGACACTCATGTTTAAAACCTGTTAGATATAAAACAGAAATATAGTTAGTTAAATTTTGCTGCATGAAGGAAGAAAGGGCTTCATGGAAGCAAGCACTGGGAGGTCATTGCCATTCAACCACAAGCCAGTGTACTCATGCCACTGCATCTGACAAAGCTTGACATCAGGGGTTGATTCAGTCTCATAAATTAATCACATAAACCAAATAAATGATGATGACACTAATAACAACAATGAAATGTAGGATCTGTGTGTTCTCAGCGGTGGTTATGATAAGTACTATCTTCTGAGATATAATGCCGTGTAATCTGTTGAAAGTCAACTGATGATTCACAGGAAATTACAACCTCCCTCTTCCGTGTTGAATAAGCCGAGCAAGATATAATAGTGAAAGCAAGTAGCAAGACATGTGGCGAAACGTCGGTTGACTTTCAACGCACTACACTGAGTTATATAAAAGAAAATGGGACCCTTAATAACAATCCAACTTTCTGTTGCAGATTTAACAATGATGATTTTAAGGTCATTCTGTCAAGATCACTCAGCTATATTATGCGTCACAAAGGGTATTCCACCGACAATGGGGCACATCATTATAATACAAACGTACGACCGAAATAATAATAAACATACACCCAAGATTTGGGTACCCCTACTATGTATTGGACATCCCTTGTTTCAACTGCGCGTCGCGCTTAATCAAGTTAGTAAACATTTCCAAATTAAATAAATTAATATAAACTATAAGTACTAACCATGTCCCATTTTACATGGAAAAATAATTAATATATTGATACTTTTCTTAAATTACATTGCTGACATAACACTTTATAGATCTTTATGGCTGTAATTCCAAGTAAACAATCCTGCTGGTATTGGCAGCTCTGTATTGGCGCTTCTGCTAACGTTTATTTCTATACGTTCATAATATGTTCTACTCCAACGATATTTCGGATTATTATATTGGTTTTGTGCAATTTATACTTACTAAGAAGGAATTAGTAATAGTTTTACACATGAAATTAAAGCAACTGTGCTCCAAAACATTATTTGTCACTAATAGTTGAGATGAACAACCGGTATAGCAGCCGATACACGTCACGGGCCTCTAGAAGCACGGACAGGAGCCACCATGGAATAATGTCTTTTAGCGAGGTTGCTAGTTGAATCCGTGGTTCCAGCGCGGTACAACTGCTGCGGAAGGTACAACATCTATGGCAGTCACTGAAGGTCACTGAATACCCTCGAGCGTGCGCGTAGTGGAATCAATGGAATAGAGCGAATAGAGCGTCGCGGCATGTTCGATTGGGTCGCAGTTATTAGCTACAGGCATATAATTAGTTGATTTTTTTTTTCAGAAATGTACTCATTTTTCAATGAGGATGCCCATAACTTAAACTGCATTCATGACAGGCCGTCTTTATTGTGGCTCTTAGCCGTGTATTACAACCACGGCTAAGAGCCACAATACCTCAGTCGGTATAGAGAGGAACAGGAATGAGTGATTCTCTTTAATCCGCAGCAAGCAGACCGAATCTGGGGTTCACCCAGCCCCCCCGTCCAGTGGGTACAGGATGCTAAGCAACCGGGGCTTGATGCGGACCATTCACTTCCACCTAATGACAAGGTCAAGAATGGAGCCATGCCTCCATTCCCCCAGACATAGCACAGGAGCAACTATACCTTACAAACTCTACTAAGCTGCTTTTCCAAAAATCTGTATAATACTTGGAGATTATGGTCCTCTAGGATAGTTACATACCAGTGTTTTGTAGGAACCCGCTCTTTTCATCTTCAGGGTGGAGTAACATGTGAAACTTTCATGCTGACTGAATACAAGGAAGTCTTGAGTACCCAGCCTTGCCAAAATACAATGAATTTCCTACTTATGGAGAGACTGAGGAAAATGGATGATGATATGGAACTGGTCCTACATGAAGCATAAATGTTTAGCTCTCCAACCATACTTCCTTTTCTGGATTGTTGTATCTTGTTTGAGTAAAAATTGCAAATCACTGTATACTGACACACAGACATTGAATCTGTTGGATAAAGGGCATGCCATAGCTCAGGCATTTCGTTGGTTTCCTACTGCCGTGGCACAGGTTTGATCACATGTCAGGTCATGAGATTTGTGGCGGTCAAAATGGCATGGATGTGTTTTCTCCAGGTATTTAGTTTCTTCTGTCAGTTCTCATTCTAGCAACTGCTCCACATTCTTTAATCATGCTGTCATCTGACATTATAAAGTCTACATAATGATGGCATCATTAAATAATCAACTTGAAAGGGAAAAGAACTGTTACATTTTGTTTTCTCTTTTATTTGTCTTGGTTTTTATGCTGTTGTTGCTACTGTTGTCATCATCATTGTTACCAGTATTATAGCCGTAAAGCACTTGCCTTACCTACATGTTAATTGCAGTGCTTAGAACCAGCTTCACTTAAAGTTAAATTATTTTAATATACTGAATTGTTAGGATAATAAATTATACACACGTATAAGTGGTAAAATCTCCAGTCTTTAATGCTGAAATATAGTGTATTATTCAAAGCAAATTAAAATCTGTGACAGTAATCATACAATCAAGCCTTAATATTCTTGCAATTTAGTGTTGTATCAATAAACAAAGCATCAAACTAGAAGAATTTACTCGTTATTTAAAAGTGAAGGGCACAAGAAAAAAATATCAGGGCCCACAAAAAGTGGGGGGGAAAAAAAAGAAAAATGACCTGAACCCTTCGCTGAATAACTGCATGAGATGGCTGTCATCTACAAAACATTATGGTCACTAATTCCACAGGTTCCAAGTGATACATTTTTTAAAACTGAGTGCCACATCATAGAAAAACCACCTATACTTCATAACTTTCTCTCCTGAAAAATAATTGTTGTGTGACTATGATATTTCTCCCTTGCACCTTTCAAGCTGGATATGATAACAATGTGTATATACTTAGGTGTTCACATACAACACATAACAATTTGTACAGAGTGAGAACATAGTAGATATTATATTTTGTCTTTTTAATACCATTGTAATTTTACAGGATAATGTTTATGCTGCTATTCCACAGTGGTAACAGATTTATGAAAAATCATTAATATATATTAACCACATTAGAAAAGAATCTTTGCATGATGACTGATTACTTTTAAACATTTAGTGATTGAGATTGTAGCAGAAATAAAGCAAAATTAACTATAGTGCAGAGAAACCAGTCTTGGAAACAAAACATTTTGGATAAGCATTATGTATCCATATCATACTCTTGAATAATTCTGCATTCTCCATCATAATCAGTTCTCTAAGTCACTACTACAGTAAGGCAGTTTGCAGATACAGCATTTCAAGGAAACAAACTTCCATTTTAGCTGTACTCTCTTGTTAAACTTTGATTCAGAAGTTTTAATAAACATACAGTATCTATGTATGTCAATAAATATTTGAATCACACAAACAATATACACCAAAACAGGTAATTTATAAAGTCTTACCTTGTATTCTACAATAAACTTGAACAAAAGCTTCGTATATAATGAAGCTAAAAACACAGAATCACAAGAATGTATTACAGTAATCAAGCTGAAGGGAACCAAGTACATTGTGCTAGGTGTATAAACCTTCCAGGTTGCACTGACTTAGTTATGGGAGAATGTATGTGACTGTTTCAATTTCTCATCTCTACAATTGCACTTATCTCAATGAAGTTCTGTTTTTCATTTTACACTCCACTATTCACCAACACTTTTAAATTGCAAATGTTACGTTTTTTTCTTTGTTGCACTTTTCAGTCTGTTTTTTGACTCTTTTCCTTGTGCCTGAAATAAGAACAGCTGCCAGGTTATGTAAATAATCTTTTTCATCCTATAAAATATTTTGAACACAAGCTATAAAAACATTCAGTAAAGTACATATAGGCAATGTAAAGATACGTGTTAAATCAAAATTTTGCAACAGTGTATAATTTCTTATATACTGATCTTCTAATTATTTTGTATATAATATGTACTATGAAAAAGAAAATTATAAACACTATTGAAAATGTATGAAACACATTGATATTTTTAATCATTGCCAAATGATTATACAAAAAATTATTAATAATATTATTATTAAATTAATTTTCTAGTATATATTTTACTTCTTGTAAAAAATGCTAATTCTACTCGATATGGGAATTATTCAACATTAACTTAACAAGTAAAAAATGTCACAAATTTTTATACATAACTTAATTCAGAGAATTTAAAAAGTAATTTTTAGCATCATGCCAGATACATTAAAATCATGTTAATGCAGCTAATAAAAATTAACAGAGCACTACAAAATCACTGAAAAATGTTTTTAGGCAGTCTGCTATCTACATCATACAGTCTCCAAAAATGTGTTAATCTCCCTTTCCTACATCTTCTGATGTGAGGTGACCAGCAACACCAGGTGAGAGGGTGCTCATACTGTGAGTGCTTTAGTTGAAATTTGTATTATATCCTCCCTGCAGCATTAACTTAAATACAAAGAAAGTTTTGTACATATGTAATAGCAGGTTTGAGTGTACATAACAGCAGAGAAAGAAGAAAATATAGCAATTAAAATTGTAGTACACAAATCAACGTGTAAGAGCAGTATCTTGTGGGTTGTAATGTTGTGTATTGTGGTGGAAGTTTACTGACGTTCCTCCAAAAGAGTGGTAGATTTCTACTAGGCTACATGGCATTATATCACACTGAAAATATTCTCCAGTTACTGCTATAAGAATCTCAAATCTATCAAATAAATACACCTTTGTTGAAGCAAGAGATAAACTCTAGACATTTAAAGAATTTAACATCAACTCACACATTAAGTTAGGTTATAATACTGTATTCCATTTACATACAGTATATTGTAAAAATATATATAGAAATTTCTTTTGTAAATGTATTTTATTTATCAGTTATTTACTTATTTATTTGGTTCAAATCATTGCCTGCATGCTGATCAGTGTATTAAACTGAAGTTTAAGTTTAACTGGCATGGAAATGAGTACATCATACCCGTATCCACATAGTACAAAGACCCAAAAGTGGAAAGCCTTAAAGCTGTGAAAGCCTTAAACCATTAAATGAAATAACTTAAAACATGGCACCACAATTGCCCCCAGAATGTCCCACAAAATTTCAAACACTTTAAATGGTTCATGGTTAAAAGGGCTCACACTGACCCACTCCCGACTGAGGAGGTAGGTTTGTAAGAATGAACTCACCAAGTTTCCTGCACTACAGATGAATCTGAGCAGCCATCATAAAATAAAGGGACATTACCAACATAAAATATATAGAAGGCACCCTTCAATCATTTCATGTTTGAAAGGAAACCTGTAAACCACATTAAATAAATGGAACTTCAGTTAGATTACTTTAATCATCCAAGCTCATTCAATTTATAATTCCTGCATACCAATGATCAATAAAAGCATCTGTGAATAAGAACCTTAATTTAAACCATAAGAGTGATTTATGGTATCATGATACATGAACTTCCAAGCCAACAATAAAACTGAGCCTCCACATTCTACTGTCCTGTTAGGAATGTATAGCTCCTTGTTGTCTAATTCCATCCATCTTGTAAACATAATTATGTTATGATGTAAAAGCACTTTTAGATAAAAACATTGCATATTATATACTTCTTTACATATTCTGTTTTTAGCAAATTTCAACTGAAGCACTGCCTCTTATCATTAATAAGCCATGATCTGCGTGCCATGATGTTTCAGTGAGTAGTGCACAGTGGCTGATGTGTACAGGTGCAGTGCCTGCTAGCGTCCTATGGGATCTGATGGTGGTGGACTACGATATTTAGCCCGGATGTGCAGGTACGATGGTGAGGATGACTTGTTGGTTGGGGAGTCTCGGTTTACTACCTTCACCTGGCAGGGATCGTGCCGCAGAAGGAAGTGCTCCAGAGTGTCCCAGCCACCTCCCACACGGACCATCATGTGCCGACCCTTTAGCAGCTTCAAGAAAAGAATACATAAATGTTAAAATTGAGGGAATTTTATCTCTGTTCGATTAATAAGGAGTTTTTGCTGCCTGATATTGAAACTAACAGGATGCATTCACATATGTGATCTACATTTTCTTAAAAAATATTTTGGCTTAATTTGTTGTCATTTTGCGTTTTCTGTTTAACATATTCTTAATAATTATCCATAATTCTGTAAGTGCAAATGTATGGCCTATATCATGAATTTATGGTCATGTTTTATGATTTTCTTAAAGGAAAAATTCTGTAATATGGGGCGGACTGTATAATGAATAATTTCTTAATGTTGAACCTCAATAGTGTGTGGAAATCAAAATTCAGTGTAGAAAGGCAGTGATTCTAACCCTTATGAAGACATTGCGGCCTGCTATGTTGTATCGTCCTTCTCCTACTTTCTTCACCTTCAGCTTGTTGCACTTGCTGGAAGGGCAATGACAGTGCCTCTGAGCCACTCTTGCCACCTGCTGAACCTGCCCCACATAAACAGAAGAGTTAATTACAAATTCCATAAAAAACCAGTATTCTCCTTGGTGTGTATCTATGATGCTACTGCTGCTCTCACAGTGAAGGAAAATAGGATCTTTTATGTGGAGGGTGCATTTCATTCCTACCTTAATAACAATAAATCGTTCTATCTTTTGGGATATTACACCACATAGTCAATTGAAAATCAACCAACATTTCAGAGGAAAATGTCGCCTGCATCTTCAGGGTCAGAGGTCAAGCCAAGCAAGAAATCTGCTTGCTATCTAATTTATACTGCCTTGTTTTTCAACCCTGATGATGGAAATAATATGTTCCTCTGAAATGTTAACTGATTTTCATCAGACTACACAGTGTTATATTTCAGGAGACAAAACTCTTCAGAACATCCACTTTGAGAACTTCAAATTCTGCATCAGTAATGATAATTTCAGTGCTCTGTTTCCAATTTAAACACAAAATAATTATAAGTAACTAGTTCCATGGAGAGGATAGTTGTCGCTGAGCTACTCAGGTTATTTCCTACCATTTACAGTCCCCAAACGTTCATTACCATCTTAGCAAGAGCCTGTGTTCACTAGTCCCCATCCTGAACCGTGTGAATACATACCACATACTCCTACGCTATACATTTAAGAGCCAATTTAATATCAATCTGCCATATATATATCCTTGTTTGATCTCATGTTATTTATCTCAATTTTTCATATATATATGAGCCAGGATAGCTCATCTTTAATATACTGGTAGGGAATTCTGGGTACAGCTAAAGAAAGAGCTGGATTTCATTAGTAATCATTCAGTTGAATATTGTCATCACTTACATGGTCTTGACCTCCAAATTTATCAAATATTCAACCCCAGTGTTCAGTACAGGCCAATGTATTGACGCAAGCAAGAAAAAATATGTAATTTCCAGTCAGTTTCCACTGACAAAGAAACTTATGAAGTGTGTAGAGAATCTATAAATAAATTATTCAGAATCCATAACCGTATCTAGTTCTTTTCTTATCTCTGGCCCATCTTTTCTGACTCACCCTCCTATCCAATTCGGTGATCTCTGTGTGGTCTCCCTGTCCAAGTTCCTGATCAATCTCTAGATCTGGATCCTCACCACTGCCCCTGGACCAGTCATCCTCAGTCGTATCACTGGGTACACCATCACTGGCACCACCACTATTTGCTCCTGGACCTGTGTTGCCCTCACTGGCTGTTCGGCGCAGGTCTCGCTGGGGAGACATGGCACCAACACCTCCAGGTGAGCTCTCTATCAGCATCAGGCTGTGACGCTCACTACTACGAGGACGTCCAACTGGCGTTCGACCCCATCGACTAATGCTGCCTGATGAGATTGCTGATGAAGAACTGCACACAAGATAACAAACACTATGGTCAGGCAGGAAACTGAAATGGAGTTTTGTAGCTGTTCCTTGATCTATAGTATAGTATAGTATAGTATTTATTGCATTCAAGCAAATCCAATTACAGGCCAACACCACTGGACACAGAACAAGTCAAATATCTTCAACAAATGCTCCAACAATGGAACTAGTCAACATAAAATATACATCAACCTAAAATATACATAACACTATACCATGTTTAATTGTAAATAAAATAAGTTAAAATTGTAATAAAAACACATTACATAATAAATTCATTCAACTTAGCAACTTATATATCTCAAACCATAAAAGATCACAACATCCATCAACTATAATGAGGTATGTTCGTTACATGGCATACCAGTCAAGTTGGAGATTATATCTTACATGTTCAAATACCAAATAAAACCAGTCAAGGTATAATCTTGCTATATACAATGCAGGTATCAGTGCAATATCCTTGAATGTACAACTGCACATCCAAACAATGCATGCAATATTGAATGAACATAGTAAATTACTACTCATTTATACAACCAAAATATTCATCCAAAGTATAAAAGGATTTTGAATGTAAAAAGGCGTTTAAGGCCACTCTAAATACCTTATTATCATGTACTACTTCCTTTATTTTTAATGGGAGACAATTAAAAAGTTTAATTCCATAGCAATAAGGACCCTTCTGATGAACTGTTAAATTTGTCTGAGGGCAATATAAATCTAAACTGTGCCTTGTATTGAGACCATGAATCTGTGTTGATGTATGGAATAGACCCTTATTATTTACAACAAATATCAAAATATCTGATACAGAACTTGTGTGAAGGGCACATTTGTGGCATGCTGTCTATTGCTTGATCATATGGACAGTCTTCTTCCTGCAAGGGCTTAACTGGTAGCCGCCTTATCTATGGAAGTTTTCTTGTAGGTTGATCTCTATGGCTTTCTGAATAACTCTGATGGTGTAATGGGACAGCTTAACTAATGCTATGATGTTCTCAAAGTACGTTCAGTGCCCCTGGTTGACTGAATGCTCTGTAACTTCAAAGTTTTCCAGATATTACAGCCAGAGGGATGTCTTGCTACATAGAGTTTGAGATTCTCACAGTGGTGCTTATGAAGAGTTCTATCTCCTGGGATATAATGACATATAGTCTTGTTGGGCTTATTTCTCAACCTTGAAAATGGAGGTGACATGTTTCTCTGAAATGTTTGTTGACTTTCAACAGACTACACATCGTTATATCCCAGAACTCTGGATATCTTGCTGCTTACAATATTTTAAGTATATTCAGGTCAGCAAACTTAAGATTATTTGAAATGTAGAGAATGATTTATGAAAGCCAAAAGAAAAGAGGTGGAGGCAAAAACAAATAACAGAGAAGAATATGCATCTGTTGCTGAGGATCTTGGAAGACAATAGAACCAAGGAACAAGTAAATAAAATTATGTCGTAGAACAGAGTTAAGAGTGAGAATATGTAATACTAACGTTATAACTATGAATTGTATTGTTTAGAAAAAAGCAAAATTTGTACTGTAGTGTTTCAGACTGATCTCAACAACTTTCATTACTAAGTCTGATTTATATCATATTCAGAGTATATCACAGCCAATAAATCAATAATGAACATGCATCTAATACTATCTTTAATAGAGTGGTACATCACATCCCCCCTCCCCACACACACACACACACCCCACCCCCTCCCTTGTACACAGAAGCAGCATGGGACTAACATTTTCATTATTACATCACATGATATGTGAATTTCATATGGGCTGTTATACAGACATTTATCCAATATAAGCTAATCTTAAAACTCTTTAGGAACTGTTTGACACACCACTCCAGATTTTGTCCAATATTTGAAATTATTAAAACCACTACGTTTTGGAAACTGGCTCTACTTTCGTCTTAAGTCTAAGAGGATATAAAAGAAATCCTTTGCTGTTACATAGCACTGAGAGTTGACAGCTTCCCGCTGTAGTGGCCTGAGTTCGATTCCAGGCTGGGTCATGGGGGAACTGTGATGGGCGAATTGGCACTGGGGGTGGAATTTCTCCAAGTATTTTGACTTTCCCTGACAATTTTCATTCCACAAACTGCTCCACATTCATTAATCAACTTATCATCTGATGCTGCATAAGCTTGATACTGACAGAATCTTTAAAAAAACTTCTTAATGACAGAATCTTTAAAAAACTAAATGAATGAAAGGAAACAAAACCTATTTCATTGGCCTCCTTGGTAGAGTCAGTGCCAAACCATAGCCTGAATGTAGCTTTACCATGGGGGCCAAACACAGTAACCTTTTCCTGTTCAGCTGGAGGTGGAATTAGAACCAACAACTAAACCCATTGACCTTACTAAACACGGATGTTGGATGAAGTCCAAAACAACAGTTTTAAGCAATGTGCAATATAGATTTTAAATTGTCCTGATGATGGTGCAAAAGTCTAAAATCCCAGCAATTCCAGTGTGTAATATAATTAATTTTCTCTCTATAATATATTACAGTTGATAAAGATTCTCTCTTGTCACATATAGAATTTTTCTAGTACACATTGTACCAGTATGTAAGTACATTATTCTGAGACACACCACTGCCTTAATATTAGTTATAATAGAAATTGCCCCTTCCTTCGTCCTTGCCTGCTGTGTCGTATCTTGTCCGGGGAGGATCGAGGTGTAACAGCAGGACTGGACTGGAACTGCCAAGATATAAGCGAGCTATGTGACAGCCCTGAATCAGAATGGCAGTTCGAATGTGAATGTGATTCTTCCTCTGCAATCTCTCTCTCCAGCTGTACGAGACTCGGTGGCTCAACGCTATAGCGAGATGCAAGGCGAGACACCTCTAGGAGACACAGGATCACATTCCGAGGTTGATTGTGCAGTACTGAAAGGAATATCAATGAGCAGTAGTTCAGGTTAAGATTAACTGACAAATGAATATGGAGAGCTCTGGATCTAGTAAGTGTTTCTCTGTGTGAAATCACAAAATATAATCACTTATTTAAAATGCATATTTTATCTCTAATTCTCTGCTTTAAATCTTAAAACATTGAATAACAAGACATCTCTTAGCAGATTACTCAGTTATGTTTCATTTATGTATATCTTACATATTGGCAACACTGCACTTTCATTCAAATTACAAATCATAGGAATGATATCAGTTGTGTGTACCAAGAGGGCATTATTATTTTTCTTTTGCTGTGATTAAAATTTGTGAAGCGTGAACTTATGCATAAGTTAAATCACAATTGCACAAATTATTTCAATCCTGTGAAATGTGTTCTGGGGTTTATAAACCAGAGAATATAAATACTGAACCATTACTGATTTTATTGTGTATTATAATTATAACACATAACTGAGGAAACTCATGGAAAATTATTTCTTTTATACTTTTCTCTTGACTTTGTATTTTTACCTTAGTATTATACATTAATAGATAAGGGCACAAGGCATGTTTTATTCTAAACAGTCAAACACTATTTGAAAATTGTTTTTATATTTAACCTTTGTAAACTCTCTTCTACCCCCTCCATTATCTCTAGGTTCACAGAACCGAGATAGTAACAAATCTAACTATGGTCTTTGGATATCTATGTAATGAATTTAGAATTTCCATAACTGATTTAGGTACCTGAGCACCAGTATAAGAATTTTATATGTTCATACCAAGATCGTCACTCTCAAACAGAAGATTTTGATGGACTCCAAGTTTCCTACAAAACTGAATGAAATTCTCCATATTGTCCCTAGAGAAGAAACTCCTCCTAGCAGCATTTTCCCAACACCGGCCTTTGATGGTTGGAATGGGCTGAAAGTGTCAAAACAACATAAGTTTCAATCTGTATGAACATCTGACATGAGGTTATGCTTTAAATATTCTGGTCATACTATGCGTGGTTGAAGTATACTGTGAATAGAGATTTATTTAAAGAATAGTTTAATGAATACCAAACAGTCTCAGGAAACTGGCAACAAAGTGCATCATCACAAGAAACAACAAGCCTAAAAATCTTGTCGCCAGTTGTAGATATCCATTTACATACAGAACTGTATTTTGTCTATTCAAAAACCAACAGTTTCACAGACATGAGTTTAACATTTATATTATATATTTACTAAACACAACACAGTGAAATTTCCTAAGAAAATGTAAATAGTAAGAATGTACACTAAATTTCTCTGTATTCAGATGCATCTGTTCTGCATACAGATGATTCTCTGAAGACATACTAATTTACTACTACTTACACCTTTGACAGATCCTATATCGACAACTTGCTTGGCACGTTCCTGAATAACTCGTGCCAAATGGCACACAACCACACCATTATCCAACATGTCCAGGAAGTTCTCGCCAGTGATGTAGTCGATCCCTGTTACACAAAGAACAAATATTCTAATATCTCATTCTGAAAATTCATCATATATTTCATATTCACTCAATTTTAAGATCATATTTTATTCAGCTTTCTTCATATAATAAGAATAAAGGAATATAGTTTACACTTGGAAGAAGGAATTATAAATTATATAATTAACACACCTTGCTGCTTGCTTGTCTCCTTGCTCAACTTACTTTTGAGCTTAGAAATGAAAGCAGTATGTTTTTCCAAAAATTTGGTAAACTTCATCCCACAAAAAAGTACTCTTCATAGCCATTCAACAGCCAACCTCAAATCTCGTACTTCAAAGGAAAAGTTCCAATGTTCCATTAGTTAAACCTATTGCTGCAATATTCAACTGCAGCCATACAAGCATCCATTACTGTAAAGTGTGACATTGATCTTTTGTCCACATCAAGCAATAAACATCTCCTTTCACAGCATCATTTGACCTCATTCACTAAGCTATGAAAATACATTTTTGTCTAATTATTTTTGTATGTCTACATTAAAATTGCAATATATTATGAAAATTGTGAAATTATAATATGCAGAAAAGGAGTGAAACAATTTCCTTGCAACAAAACAATTCACACCGAAGCCATATTGTTTTCAATTTTCCTGACATAATACCTTGATAAAATGTTAATATTCTCCAACATCCATCACCATAAAATAACAAAAAACAAAAACAAACTTCAGTGCCTATGTTCAAAATGTCACAATGATCAGCAGCTCAATAATATGGTTCCAAATAGCCCTAAAAATTTATTAGAGACAATGCAACTATTTTCTAAAAGAATAATAAAAACTGTAGTTTTTAATTGCCAGTATTTGTGATGGCATGCATAGAAGTTCATTTAATGTCTGCACAGTAGCCAAAGTAATATTCTCATATGTCTCATAAGTTTAATGACGACTTGTAACAGTAAATATGACAATTATTTTTGACATTTTCAATTGTTTTGATGATTTAATCATGTTTCCCAAACTGAATCTGTTTCCATCATGTAAGGGAGGTAAGTTTGGGTCCATTAGATAGAACTAGTTGCAATCAATGGACACAAAGTTCTAAACAGTTTCTCTGTTTTGGTGTCCAATGATTGAGAGGTACTCTTTCCAATGGACCAAACTGAGATGCAACAGTTGCTGTTTTGTGCCTGACAACAGAAACAGATCCATTTCCATGGCCATCACTAGGGTTTCTCAAAGAGGGAGGGAACATTCGGTTTTCAAAGAGGGTCAGCCAGAAAATTCTTACAAACATGTGTTTAAGCCTTTTAAGATTATTTCTACTGATCATCAGTATTCAGAAAAAAAGAGGCTATGCTTTTTACTTTTTTTATATTAATATTTGGTACTTTTCCTTCATTTAGTACTTCGATTTCTTCCTACAAAGTCGATGGGGGGTGGCAAATCCCTGGTTCGAAATGTCAAAAACAACAGCCGTGTTTCGTATTCTTATGTTGGTCGGTTGCTGAAAGGCCAGTGAAGAAATGTTCTGTAGTAACACAAACACTGCCGGCAGTATTGTGTGGCGTGTACAATACGTCTCGTGGCGCCGACACGTGTCCATGCTGAGAACTTCCGGTGGCTAGGTAGCGCCCTTTGCATGCTAAATAGCACATAGCTGCCGCCACTAGGTAGGGTGTGGGTTAGTCACATGGCGTCCCCAAGGCGATGTGATAGAAGCGTGGTCAATATAACAGCTGAAGAATGCCGTCTTCTGGGATGTGGCGCCGTGCAGATCTTGTGTGAATCGACGCTTTAGAGGAACGTATCGCCTCAATCTTCATGGCAGAAAAATCCGCGAGCGAGAAACCAGGATGAGCAGGTGGCTGAAGCCCTGAAGAAGTAGGCGATACGTTCCTCCGAAACGTCGGTTCACACAAGATCTACAAAGGACCACATCCCAGAAGACGACATCCTTCATAGTAACCGCCGTGAAACCCTCAAATCATATAATATAACATTTGATGAGACAGCAACATCTGGAAGCAGCTATTTTCCGTACAGACACGACTTGGTGCATTCAATGACCCCTCATGCAACATATTTAAATAGCTGGGTCATTATGTCGACTAAGTTCCCATAAGGTAAAAAGTAAGAGGTAAAGCTATCCCTGTAAGAGGCTGTGGAGACCCATAGGGTCGTGAGACGTCGAGGCTCCCACATTTTCTATCGGGTCACAGATGGGGTGAGGTTGTCAGCCTCCGGCTGCCCTTTACCCCCAGGAAGCTTCCTGGTACTCATTTCTGTTAGAGGTTGAGTCGACCCCAAAGTCATAGTGAGATCGACAATCGAACCCACGAACTTCCGGCTCGTAGAATAGTGCCTCAACCAACTGGGGAGCACAGCAGAGTTTTATTCTGCAGCTGGGAAAGGAAAATCACGGTGGTCATTGTGAACAGTAATATCTTTAGGGATGTAACCCCGTGTGTAGTCAGGATGAAGATTAGTGACGTTTCGGAGGAACTGACTTCATCGTTAGTGTCTAGTAAGCCAAGCAAACAAACAAGCACAAATTTCTGCTTGCTTTTTGCTGGTTCCTTGCTTGTCGTACACTTAAACATTAATGATGGAGTCTGTAAGTTCCTCCGAAACGTCAGTAAATTTATACCGGTTTATGCAGCATTTGAGGTACTCCTAGAATTTATATCATCTGGAATGTTAGACCGTTCAGCGCGTTGAAAGTCAAAAGATATTTCGGAGGAACATGTCGCTTCCGAAACGTCGGTTGACTTTCAACGTTATGTCACAGAAGATATAAATCTTTTACAGGATTACACGGCTTCAATAACCCAGAATATAACTCATTTTCGTTCTATATTCTCCGGACCGTGAAAATATTCCTATAAAAACAGGTTTCCATTTAATTCAAGTTACTTTTTAGACAAGTTTTACCCTATTTCAAAATCTGTATCCTGATACTGAGAGCTAACGAAGGCAGATATTCCATACGTGTATTCGCCGCAAAAATTATACTTCAGTAATGTGTCCGTCGTGTTACTATGGCAACCGTACTAACGGGGGTGCTTGACGTGTGGTCTAATTACCACTTTATGCTTCATTTATTGCGCCCGCCGCCTTCTAGAGCCGATACAATCCCGCTGTTGCCAGGCAACTATATGCTCACATGTTTGAAAAAGGCCATGGGTTAATGTAGGTGTCCCTACACAATGAGTATAGAAAATACTGAGTTAGTTATATGAAGGGTACAAGTACCCTGCTCCGTGCAGGAAAGGAAGTCTTACAAAGCATTTTCGAACTCCCGTGAAAGGTAAAAAGGTAAAACTATCCCCGAAACAGGCCGTGGAGGCCCATAGGTTTGTGAGACGTCGAGGCTCCCACATTGTCTAGACAATCGGTCCACAGACGACGGTAAGGTTGTCAGCCTTACGCGCCGGCCGCCCTTTACCCCCAAGATCATTCCAAGAATATTCCTGGCACTCATTTCTGTTAGAGGCTGAGTCGACCCCAGGGCCATAATGCGGCTGGAAGGATTAGGTAAATTGAAAAATCCGGTAATCTTACCGGGAATGTAATCCGTGGTCTTCGTCTCGTAGCATAGTGCCTCAACCAACTACACTACTGAGTGACCCTTTTCGAATTACCGTGAAAAAATGATAACGAAATTTTAGATAAACGTAAAATTTCCCGCGTTTCGTTAAATCCCAAGTCATGAAAAGATACTGAAGAGAGGAGGTATAACTCCATGCATACATCAAATGATTTAGGATAAAGCTCTAGAGTAGTATTCGGGAGGTGTTAGGTTCAAATCACGAATGAGACCTTCTGTTCTGAGGTTTCTCTTGGTTTTCTTTAGTTCCCCCCAACAAATTGTCGGTGTAGTAAATCGAAAAGGTCACTACCGTCTCCTATCAAATTCTTTCCAATCATTCATCGACCATCATATCATTAGAAGGTATATAATCTAGCTACAGAAAACACCGTAAAACCTACGTATATATTCACTGTTCTTTCTTGGAATACATTTGGTGGCCTTGCGCTGTAGTAAGAAAAGTTTTGTTCCAGTTCAGTAAAATAAGAAGTTCGAATATTGATCTGCAAGACGGGGACAGGAAGGAGACAACGCCTTGCAGACGAGATACATAATGCACCCCGACGGAATCTAACCAGACAGGCAGACAATGTGGAGCCGAACCTTCGTGCAATTGGTTGATTCGTCTCTAATTCAACATTAATTGTTTCATTTACACTTGGCGGCTCTCCTATCCGCGCTCTTATAATATTCATTCATTCATTCATTCATCCATCAGTAATCTGTCAAGACGACAGGTCCACAGTCTCTTCCAAAACAGTTCCTCCACTTGATGCGATCTAGAGCTTTCTCCCTCCAATGAAAATATCCTCTTCTGTCCTCAAGGTCATCCAGCATCTTCTTACGTGTCTTCTTCCTCTTCTTCTTGTCACTTCTATCCGCCCCTCTATCTTTCCTTCAATAACCTCTTTCAGAAGGCAGTTACCGCGCAAGATATGACCAATCCAATTAGCCTTCCGTTTTCTTATTTCGTGTAGGATATTCCTCTGCTCACTGACTCTAAATAACACTTCTTCATTTCTCACATAATCGGTCCAGCTGATCTTCTCCATCCTTATGCAAAAGCTAGGGATACTTAGTAAGAAACTCCGTGGATTTAGTCCGCAAGCGAACTATACCGACCGAACGACCGCCAATTGTCAGCGAAGTTAGTGCCAACTTTAGCGGATAGAGGGTGTCGCGTGGTCAGTACTTACTACATACTATTTAATTAAAGCCTCTGAAATTCAAGTTATACGGCAAATGTTAAAATGTAAAGGTGAACTAAAGGTTCATTACCATGTTCACAAGATCCCAACATTGGTACCTATCCCGAGCCAGATAAATCCATTCCAAATCCTATTTCTCTTAAAGGTCATCTTAATAGTTCTTTTATCCCTTCCTACATCTCACAAATGCTCTCCTCTATTTTACATTTTTTATCTTCCCA